GCTTTTCCAAAAATGCTTTTAACGGAAAACTTTTCCATTAAAAGCATCTCCAGAAAATCGTGTCATTGTAGAAATAGCCAGTGATTTCAATAAGTTCAGCTCATAATAGAGGAGCCTCAGTGCCAGTGCTCCAGTAGCTTACAGTGAAGTCAACTCTTCAGCTCACAACTAGACACCTAATAGAATCCAAATTAGTTCTGATACTCCATAGTAGAGAGAGAAAGATACAATCAGTGCTGTTTCGGCACTCAGACAAGGCCACACCACCACCAAGTACAAAATCTACCCCCAGCCTCTCAGTCATGGTGGGTGTGTCTATGCAAATTGGACGTATCTATGCAAATGAGATCAGCCCCTGAAGTCTCTTTGCACCACTCGCTACAGTTCACCACCAGATGTCAGAGTAGAGCTTACCCTGACCCTGCTTACACCAGCATCACCCTGTGCTGGGGTGGAGCAAACCCAGGGGCAGGGACGAAAATCGGACTGGGATCCTTCCAGCCAGAGGGTTCCATTCACCCGGCTGCCAGGTGTCTGGTTTTTCACTGGAGGATCCAGTTGCAAAGGGCAAGGGGCAGTGACCGGTTGGCACAAAATGTCCAGGTACCTGCAATAACCGTCAGGGGCAGGGATTCCCTCCGGCCTAGGCCGGCACCGGGCAGATGGTCAGGGGAGTCTCATCGTAACCAGGACAGAAATACGGACAGAGCGTCCCGGAGAAGGTGCCGGTGAAGGTGAAGAGATGGGACCCGTCAGTCACATTGTAAAATGAGACCTTGCCTGCCTCGTAGTCCAGGAAAATCCCCACCCGGCTGGGCCTGGCGCTCACGGGGAGGGGGGTCCAAGGGGAGGTAGAGACTGTGTATTTATCCCCACTCCTCAGCCACACGGCCCAGTATCCTTGTTTGGTTGTGAGTGTGACCTTCCCCTTCCTGCTCACAGATTCCCTGCAGACACCCAGGTCCCAGTCAGTCTTGTCTCCCACCTCCACCTCCCAGTAATGCCTCCCACCCGTGAACCCCTCGGCGCCCAGCACACAGGGACAAGGGTCAAATCTCTCTGGGGTGTCGAGCAAAGCCAGGCACATGTCTCCGTATCTCACATGTTTCCGATCCTCAGACAGGACGAGGTTGGGATGAGCTGTGTCTGGATCCAGACTCACGTCCACTAGGGAGAGAGTCACAGAGTCAGGGCCAGGTCCCTGGGATCAGGGGGAAATTAACCTGCCCCCCCATTAATCGCTGTGGGGGAGTCAGGGCCCTGCTGCTGGTGAGGAGACAAAGAGCAGGAAAAGGGCAGGAGTAGTGGGGGAGGAGTGGCAAGCTGTCAGTGTGGGGAGGGGCAGGGTAATGCTGGGAGAGGAAAGGGGAGGGGCAGATGATGGGGCAGAGGGGGAGGGGTGGAGCAGAGGGAGCAACCGTAGGGCCAATGTGGGGCAAGAGGAGCAGGCACAAGGCCACAGAGGGGTGAGGGAAGGGGCAGTCCCCTGGGGGGCTGGGTGGAGGGGCAGATGGCAAGGAGGGCAGAGGGAGGGGTGGACACCAGGGGGCAGAGGGTCACAGGTGAACAGACAGAGGGGTGTGGGGAAGGGGAGGCCCAAGGAAGGCAGAGGGGTGATGATATGTGGGCACCAGTGTGGCAGAGATGGGGTGGGGCCTACACCACAGGACCCAAAGAGGGGCCCAGGTAGGAGACACCAGGCAGGCAGAGGGGCAAAAGGAAGAGCAGGCACCAGGGAGGCAGATTCCCAGGAGTGCTGTGAGCAAGACACAAGGGCTGTGTCTAGACTGGCCAGTTTTTCCAGAAAATCAGCTGCTTTTCCGGAAAAACTTGCCAGCTGTCTACACTGGCCACTTGAATTTCCACAAAAGCACTGACGATTTCATGTAAGATAGTCAATGTTCTTGCGTAAATACTGTGCTGCTCCCGTTCGGGCAAAAGTCCTTTTGCGCAAAAGGGCCAGTGTAGCAAGCTCAGATTTGTTTTCTGCAAAAAAGCCCTGACTGCGAAAATGGCCATTGGGGCTTTTTTGCGGAAAAGCGCGTCTAGATTGGCTACGGACGCTTTTCTGCAAAAAGTGCTTTTGCGGAAAAGCGTCCCTGCCAATCTAGAAGCTCTGTCCCGAAAATGCTTTTAACGGAAAACTTTTCCGTTAAAATCATTTCTGGAAAATCATGCCAGTCTAGATGCAGACAAGGAGTTGTCCCCTGCTCTCCTCTATGCTGATCAGGCCTCAGTTTGACAACGGTGTCAAGTTCTGGGCCCCACATTTCAGGAGAGGCGGAGAAATTGGAGAAGGTCCAGAGAATAGGAATAAGAATGATACAAGGTCTAGAGAACATGAGAGAGGAGGGAAGACTGGAGGAATTGGGCTTGTTTAGTCTGGAAAGGAGAAGGCTGAGAGGGGACATGAGAGCGGTTTTCAAGTATCTAAAAGGGTGTCACAAGGAGGAGGGAGAAAAACTGTTCCCCTTGGCCTCTGAGGACAGGACAAGCAGCAAGGGGCTTAAACTGCAGCAAGGGAGGTTTAGGTTGGACACTAGGAAAAACTTTCTGCCTGTCCGGGTGGTGAGACACTGGAATAAGCTGCCTGGGGGGTTGTGGAGTCTCCATCCCTGGAGATATTGAAGAGCGGGTTGGACACACACCTGGCAGGGATGGTCTGGATGGTGCTTGGTCCTGCCGTGAGGGCAGGGGACTGGACTCGATGACTCTCGAGGTCCCTGCCAGTTCTGTGGTTCTGACGGAGGTGAAGGCAGAGAGGGGCCTCAGGGAGGCAGAGGAGAGGTGACCAGAGGGGCTGGTACCAGGGGCTAGAGGGGGATGAGGAGTTCAGGGTCAGGGGGTCAAAGGGCAAGGGGCAGGGGAGAACTAAGGGGAAGGTGGAGGGAGTGTGAGGGGAGAGGGCAAGCAGCAGGGGTGAGGGTGGGGAATGGAAAGGGGTTTGTGCTGAAGAGAGGGGGGCAGGGCAGAATGAGAAAAGGAAAGACACCAAGGGGCAGAGTGGGGGAGAGACAAATGCCGGGGGACAGGGATGGGGAAGGCACCAGGGCAGATGGGGGTGGTGGTGGCAGGTTTGATCCTCAGTGGGTGGGAAGGGAAGGGTGGGTGCCAGGGGGCTAGAGAGGCACCGGGGAAGGGGTTAAAGGCAGGGGGCAGAGATGGGCATTTGCGCAAGAGGGCTTTTGCTTGAACGGGAGCAGCACAGTCTTTCCGCAAGAACACTGACAATCTTACATGAGATCATCAGTGTTTCTGCAGAAATTCAAGTGGCCAGTGTAGACAGCTGGCAAGTTGCCAGTCTAGACGCAGCCAGCTTGTATTGCCAGGGACACGCCTGCCCTGCCTGAGGGCCCAGCCCACAGAGCTGGGCTGCCCGGGATCCGTTCTTCCTGGGGCTAGGCACAAACCACGGAGGTGCAATGTGGAGTCAGGAAATGCTGGGACCTGAGGCCGGCTGCGGCAGCTGGCACCCCAGGGGGAAGGCGCGATCGGCGCCCCCGCCTGCAAGGCCATGACGTAATCATGGGGCGCCCTAGGCAACTGCCTTGTTTGCCTAGGCTCACGGGCCATCCCTGATCCTATAGACTACTTGCCTAGGCTCACGGGCCACCCCTGATCCTATAGACTAATATTTTCTTTTGCTGGTTTCTCAGGTGCCACAGGAGCACTCGTTTTTTTTATTTTTTTTAAGGTACAGACTAACATGGTCCCCTCTGAGACCTCTGGGCCTGGCAGTTTCCAGCCCTGGCACCTCTGGGCCCTGAACATAACTTAGTAAAGTAAAAAATGTGCCCCACTTGGCACCTCTTCCATACTACGTTAAGCACTGGCCGCTCCCAGTGACTGGGGAGCAGGGGTGGAGCTGCCGGGTGCTGGTGAGAAGAGGGCGGGTGGCCCAAGGTTTGCTAGCCCACAGGCCCAGTTTAAATTTTTAGAATGAATGTTTATGAAACACCAGTCATATTGGACCGAGGGCACCCTGCCAGGAAGCAGTTTCCGGTCCCAGGCCAAGGGTGGATGAGCAGGATTCAGGTGGGAAGCGTCTCCCGGCCTTAGCTCTGGAGTCACAATCTGACTCCATTACACCCCCCAGCCACTCCCCGGGCTCCAGCTTTGCCAGCAGGGTGTGTGAGGCCCCCTGGCTCCCAGCCCCTGCCTCTAGGGTCCCTGCAAAGGGGTGGGCCCAAGGATCTGGGGGTTACTGCTCTGCATTTTCATATTTCTTGCACAAAACAGTTCAGTATAGACATAGACCGTTTGGTTAAACAGGAGACGGGGCCCAAAGCCAGACCCTGGGTTTGCCCAGGGCCCAGCCCCACTGGCTGGACATGCCCGGAGTTTTCTCCCCAGGCTGCAAAGCGCCGAGGGCACCCTGCCAGGAAGCGGTTTCCCACCCCAGGCCGAGGGGGGATGATCAGGGTTCAGGTGAGAAGTGTCTCCCGGCCTTAGCTCTGGAGTCACAACCCGGCTCCACAACACCCCCAGCCCCTCCCCGGGCTCCCGAGGGCGGGAGATGGCGTCACCGACACCAGAGCAAGGCCAGTTACCTGCGAATTCTCGGGCTCGCCTGAATCCTGGAACAAGCAGAGAGAGAGAGAGAGAGGTGAGAATTCCCACTGCAGAGCTCCCCCCCTCCCCCGCTCCACCCACACAGCGGGAGCAGGGATGTCCGGGCCCCTCCTACCACCGTGGGCTCTGCCCCAGCTCCCCACTGCCTCCGACATCCCTCGGCTGCTCTGTCCCACTCCTCCCGCCTGGGCTTTCTCCTGCGCCAATCTCCTCGCGCCCGCCCAGGCTCTCAACAGGCTCTCAACAGCTGCCATGCCTGGCCCTAGGGCAGCACCCCGGGATCCTCACCTCTCTCCACAGCCAGCGCCCCTGGAAGGGAAGAGAAAAACCCGTCACTGGGGGGGGCAGTGCCCAGGGCTCGCGGCCCAGCTCTGCCCCATGCTGCCAGATGTGCCCTGGGAAATCAGGCCCGGGAACCAGTTTCTCAGGTGTTTCTCCCCTCAGCCATGCAGAGAGGCCCCTGGGATTTCACCCGCACTCGCACAGGGGAGGTGCCCAACTCCTATGGGCTCTAGTGGAAGTTAGGGGCCCAGCTGCTCAGGGGCTTCTGAAAGTCCCGCCAGACACCTGTGTGACTCACCGGGCACCTGCCCAGCTCTGAGCTTCTGGCCCAAGGGGTTCAGACACCGGGCCCAGGCGTGCGGCTGGCATCAGACAGGGAGGCATCATGAACATCCAGGAAGCTGGGACTCGGGCCCTGAGTCTGTGACAACATCTCCCACAGCAACCAGCTCCCCTTGCCCCTCGGCCTGTGCAGGCTGGGCTGGGGGACCCTCTGCTTGGCAGCAGGAGGGGGCGGCCCCGGGGACTGGGGCAGTGGGAGAGGCACTTTCACTCCTCGCGCCTCCTCTCCACCATCCACATCCTGCTGGGATCCTGCCGTTTTTCACAGAGCACCCCCCAACCCTGGCCTGGGCTCAGGAACCCACCAGCCCTCCAGGAGCAGACCCTGGGATCTCAGGGACCCAGCCGGGCCTTTCCACACCCCTCCCCACACCCCCATACAGTGAGAGAGGAGCCCCCAGCAGCGCCGCCCCGTACCCAGGAATCCCGTCACGGCCCCCTGGAGACTGTTCTCTCCTGGGAAGTCCCGGATTCTCCGCTCCAGCTCCGGGCACTTGGGCGCCGGATGCGGTGACATCACCTCCTCACCCCTGCAGAGACACGAGGGCGTTATTGGTCTCCTGCCTCAGCCCCTCAAAGCCAGACAGGGGAGCGGGTGGGGGCTGGGCCACAGGCAGAGCTCACAGGGCCTGGACCTTGGATGCTCAGGGGGGTTTTTCCTGCCAGGCCAGGCCTGGGGGCCTCTCTCCAGCCAGAGGGAAAACAGCCCAGGCAGCACCAGGCCCAGCTCCCACACACCCGGCCTGGCCCATCAACTGGAGAGGGGGGGGGGGAGGAAGAGCAGGGCTGGGACAATGCATGGGACAGGCAGTGCCCCGGGATCTGCGTGCACCCAGGCTAGCCCCACTCCCCGCGACCTGCTTCCAATTAGCTGGTTCCCCCCTCCTCCCTGATTTCTCCTGGTCAGCCCCACTTCCCATGACCCCCTCCTGACCAGCCCTGCTCCCCACCTGCCGGTTCCCCCCCCCCCCCCCCCACACCTCC